TTGTGAGCCAGATCAACCTGGATTCAGACTCAAGCTCTACCCCTTGCCGGCCTTTGAGTTTGGACAAATCCCTGCAGCCTCAGTATCCTCAGTTTTCTCATCCGTAAAATTAGGGTGAAAGAGCCTGCCTCACAGGATCATTCATTCATTCAGCAAGCATGTATTGAGCACTCACGATGTCTGAGTACTGTCCTAGGCAATAAACAGAGCAAGTCCACCCCCAGCTCTCGTGGAGCTAACGCTGTAGTGGGGAGACGGAAAGTAGACGAGAAAGACAAGGAAAATGTGTTGTATGTCAGATGGTGGTAAGTGTTACAGAGAAAAATGAAGCATGAAAGATGATAGAAACTGCGGTGGAACGCAATTTTAGATCAGGTGGCCAAGGAAGGCTTCATGGAGGAGGTGACATTTAAGAGAGTCCTGCAGGTAATGGGAGGTAGAAGCATTTCCAGGGGAGGGATCAGCATGGTTCTGAGGCAAGCGCAGGCCTGGCATGTTTGAGCAGCAGCCAGGAGGCCGGTGTGGCTGGAGCAGAGAGAGCGAGGGGAGAAGAGCAGGAGAGGAGAGGCCACGAGGGGCCAGACCATGGAGGACATCCTTGACACTGTGTTGGCCGTGGCTCTATTGATGAAACGGAAGCCATTGGAAGGTTCAGAGCAGAGAAGTGACATGATTGGGCTTATATGTTAACAGAATCTTTCTGATTGATATGCAGAGAATGTTCTCCAAGAGGCAAGTAGGAAACTCAGTCAGGGAGCTGCCGTAGTAGGTCCAGGGGACAGAGGACAGCTGAGGAGATCAGATGAGATGATGTATGCAAAGGGCCTGGCTGATGCTCCACAGTGGGTTTCCACTCCGTTCGAGCTCACAGGGGGCTCCCATACGCACCCTAAAGCCTCACCCAGATGCTCCTGCTTGAAGGAGGCGTGTCTGCCCAGCCCCCTGGAAACCTGCAAGGGTTTCTCTGCAGCTAGGGCCTCTCAGCCCTTCACCTGCTCCCCTCAGGAACCTGGGCTGGGCTGTGTGTAGAGAGAAGGGGAGATGCGTGGCGGTGTTTCCCATATCCAGCCCTCTTGCATGGAGGCACCGTCTCCGTGGAATTCTTCCACCAGCACAGCACAGGGAGTCAGCAGGAACGTCTGCTGCGGTCACTCTGAGGTGCTGCAGACCCAACCTCAGGAGGGGCCATAGAACTCACTGATCTATTGTAGCTTTCATGGGGCTCCCATGATGTGTCTCCGCCTTGGCATCTCACAGGCCCAACTCACTGCAGACATGCTCCCCATATGCCAGGAGGCGAGGAGGAGAGGTGGGAGGGGAGAGGGCTATTGGCTGTGCACCTGTCTGAGCAGCTGTGTGGTGCTTTCTCAGTGTGTGTGTTGGTTGTATACCAGTGTGTGAGGTGGTGGGGGGGCGTGCTTTCCTCATCCATTTCCTGGTTCACCTGTGTGTGTGCCTGGCTGCACAGAGGTCTCTAGCTCTTCCCATTTGTATGCTCATGTGTAGATGTATATGTGTGTGCATATCCACGTGTGGGTCTGTGCACGCCTACACATCTGGGTGCGCATCTAGATTTGGGGCGTATGTATGGGTTCGTGTTTATGTGCTCACGGTGCTGCTAAGGCGTGCCTTTGTGTGTTTGTGTGCCTGTGTGCGTGTTCTGCGCGCATTCATGACTCTGATTCTGTAGGGATGCAAGAATGTACTGGGTGCCCACACTTCCAGGGGTGCAGGAACCCTTCCTGTCTCATTGGTGGCTCAAAGGACCCTCAGTCCCTGTGGAGACATGAGACTGGGGGGACAGCCGAGGCAGGTGAATCCTTTGAGGGATTTGATTTGTTTCTTACTTGGGGAGCATCTGCAAGGTCTGTGGTCAGGGCTGGTCCACAGAGCAGCGTCTCTGTGCCGAGGAGGAGAGAAGAGGAAGGACAGAAGCACTGAAGGAGCAGGACCAGGCACACAGGTGAAGGGAGAAGGAGGTGACCGGCAGAAGAACGGGAAACGGGCAGAGAGAGGTAGCCAACAGCATCAAGAGCGGTTCTGAGCGACACATCCCCAAACCGACCAGGGGAAAAGTTGAAAAATTCTACCAATTTAGGTAACAGGTGTTGCATCTAACATCCATCCAATCGTTCATTCATTTGTTTATTTTTCAACCAGAACACTTGAATGTCTCTATTCCTGACACCCCCACCCCCGCCAAGTCCTGCATTTCAAGCTCTGCCTCCCTTGCACTGTTGACCATGTGCCTCAAAACGCTGGGAGACCCCCACGCAGGGACAACCTGATTGGTTCTGCTTCTGGGTTCTTCTTATGACCCCCCGTGGGACAAGGACCCCTGGGCTTGAATGCTGAAGTATAATTGGCTCCATCAAGCCCCTTGTTCGACAGCCTGTGGCAAGCCTGGTGCTCTCCCCAGGTTTTCTGAGCACTCCTAGGGGAGCAGGGTCTCGCGATCACTTCCGGCTCGGATTCCTCTTCCCGGTGACTCACCCTGTCTCACGCCTCCTCTCCTACAGCGGCAGCAGCCCAGCTGCGGGACTCTGCCCTGTTTCCCTGATCTCCCCCAAACCCCACTAGACATGGCGTAGCAGGCACAACTCCATTTGTGCAGGGTTGCAGAGAAGTCTACCGTGCTGCAGTGCAAACTTAGAGTGGAACTTTCAGCACCCTTCTTATTAAAGAAGACACCCTTCTTTCTCCGTGATCACCTGCTCCACAGGCCGTGTTGCCCACTCTACTGTCTTCCTCTCTCCTTCCTTCTCTGGGAGGTGGGTAAGCCGGACCGTTTCTGAGACACTTCCCAGCTCTGAAGTTCGATGGGACTCAGTCCGAGGCGATCCTTTACTCGTTGGCTCCGGAAAGGAGCACTATCCAGAGACTTGTAGCAAAGAGCTGTGGTTTTGTCGCAGCCCGTTCATATTCATCCACATCTTCCCTTTTATCCTTGATCCCCACTCCATCTCTTCCCTCCCATAGGCGGCCCTTCTGGCCTGTTTTTTGTGTATCCTTCAGTTTATACGTCTTTTTGTGAAATGCATAGTATTGTTTTGTGTGTGTGTATTTTCAATGTACTTAAATGAGATTTCCGTCCTAGCTCTGGGTTTGTAATCAATCCATATTGCTATGGGTGCATCTGGTGTGTGGCTTCTAACCACCCTCAGCCCTGTGGTTGCCATATTCTCGCTCTGTCTATCCAGCTGCCCTGTGGAAACTAACATTCTGAACATCTGTCATTTGCCAGACACTGACCAATAAAGGCTTAGATTCGAATTATCAGACTTTATCTTCCAGTGACCTCTGCAGTCAGCTCTATCATCCCCATTTTATGGAATGGGAAACTGAGGCAGGGGTTAAGCAACTTTCCCAAGATAACTGAGCTAGGAAGTGGCAGAGCAGGATTTGAATCTAGGCCTGTCTGATTCCAATGTCCTCTCTTTTAATCACTCTGCAAAACAGCCCACTCTGGGCCCCTTCCGAATTCAACATTCTAGAACTAGCTTTTCTAGACTAAGAATCACAGTGATAGTAATAGCTAATACTTACTGCATACTACTCTGTGCCAGGGTCTTTATATCATGCAGAGCTTCCATGTACAGCTGCATAGGTAGCGCACTGTACAACTTCAAGGAGCACCATCTACCTAGAGTGGGGCCTGCCCCCAACCTTATAGGTTGGAATTGTTACTCTCTTTTTACAGCCAAGAAAAGTGAATCTCATAGAGGTTATATGACCTTCCAAAAGCACACAGCCACAGCTCTGAAACTGTTTGACTTCAGAGCCTTATTCCCTGAGGCCTTTAGACTCCTTCCCAGCCTACTGCAGCCATGCACACAGTCACTTGCAGCCAACCTCTCAAGACAAGTGTGCTTCCAGTTTTCCTGAGGACTGCTGCCCAAGTGGAGAGGCTGACTGATAGGTGTGTCTCCAGGGGGCGGGCACTGGGCATGTCTGCCTGCCACACAGTTACCATGGCGCCAGGTGTGCATCCTCTCCATGCTTATCACCCTGGGCCTGAGGGCTCACGCTCCCTTAGCCCCACTGCATCATGGGCTGGGCCCCATCCACCCACAAGGTGGTTGCCAAACTCATCGTGGCGGAAGGCCCCAGAGAAGGGCAGTAATTCAAAGAAAGCCACTTTTGAGAGAGCTCTAGGCTTTGTTCACAGCATTAAGACAGCTTCAGAGAAAAGCCTTTATTACAGACAGAAGAATATTATTTCAGGGCTATTCCCCTGGCCCATTAGAGCAAAATAATCGAGCTTTAGTCTCTATATATTTGTCATGCTTAGCGCACATGTATTTCAAGTATATTTGACAGCATATAAAATCGAGGTGAAATATTGCAAAATTGGCCAATTCTTGTACCTTTTGAATGTATTTCCTTTATTTGTTACACTTATTTTACATATCTACACAGTCCATCTTTGGAACTGGAGAAGCAGTAAGTGAAGAATCGATACCGAGGTTTTCCATGACGAAGAGGCTCACGTTGGATGCGAAATTTTCTTTCTGCCCAGCGTCTCCTGGTTCTGACTACAGAGAGAAATGGCTGCTTTCCTTTGTCTTTGCGGGTGGTTACATCTCTCAGGGGCAGGGAGCCATGGCTGTAACTTTGAGGCAATGTCTCAAAAACACTTTCCCTTCCCATATTGGTGGGGGCTGGGCACCAGCTTTCTCTAATGGTACTAGGAAGTTTTACTGGTCTGAGCTGGAAGTCCAATTTGGTGTCTAATCTAAGTCCTGAAGTTGGGGTTCTTATCCTGGGACTTTAGGGGTCTCCCTAAAATTGTATGCCTAATTTTGAGCACTTATACATCATTCTGTGGCTGCAAAAGAATGTTAAATACATATCTGGGAGTCTGGGATGGGTTCTGTCCAGCTGAGGAAGGGGGTCTCTCCCTTATCTGGTCCTTCCTGGCTCTGCCTGCACTTACCCTGGCAGGGAGAGTTGTGGTGGATGAAGCCCGGAGCCAGAGCTGCGTCTACACAGCCTGTTACCTGGATCTGTCCGAATGGACCAGTTACTCTCAGGGGAAAGCCCTCAGGAAGTGTGGATGTGGATGAACTCACCCCATTGGCTGCTCACGGCTTCCCGTGGATGGCCACTAAGCAAGAGAGCTCAGGACCCTTGTTCGCATCTGATCACGTGCTGCAGGGGCAGGATGGAGGGGCCATTCCCTGGGACCCAGGACATAGGACAGCGGGTCTGGAGCTCAGCCCCACGGGTCCTGCATGTGTACATCCCATCACCATGGTGTTCTTCCATGTGGACTCTCACGGGTGGGCTTCTTAAATGTAGATCCATGGGGGCAGGACTTTGAGCCTCATGCTCTGGCTTGGGATTACGCTTCCTCCCATAAATGTTGGCGGGAAGTTTTGGACCCAACATCAGGACAGTGGTTGGGGCCTGCAGAGGACTGGCCACATCTTTTCCCTCTGTGCTCAGCCTAGAGAAGATTCCCTGTTAGGCCTTGGGCAGAGTTTACCTCTGCCTGGCTCCTTCCACCATGCTTAGCAGCACCCAACACCTAGCATGGTCCACTGGCTGCTTACTTGTCTGCCCTCGCACCTCGAGGGCTGGGGCTGTGTTTTATTCATCTCTGGGCTGTCTATGCCTGGCCTGGCACATAGAAGGTCTTAAAAAGACTGTTGGATGGATGGACGGATGGATGGACGGACGGATGGATGGATGGATGGATGGATGGATGGATGGATGGATGGATAGAATGAATTCCTTGTAAGCAGGTTTCTGCAGGTTTCAGCACATAGAAACTGCACCTGTGAGATAGTCCTATGCTTTGTGTCACTCTCCTCAGTGAGGTGCCATCTACAAAAGCCACATTAATGTCTCAAACAATGGAGAGAACGATCAGCCACGTCCCTCCCTCCATTAAGGATGAATGCCCCTCAGGGGCACAAGGGGGGCTAAAGCATCTCTCCACATGGCTCTGCTACAGCCGCCAACCATCCAGGAGCCCATCAGGGAACGCAAAGAGCTATTGATCCCTGATGAAAGACACCTTGGATCCTGGGTAGGCACTTCCTGGGCCCAGCAGAGGAGGGACAGAGGCAAGACGCTCACCTCGCTGGCACCAGCTAGAATCCAGCTGGGCCCTGGAGGCCTGAGATGAGGCAGATCCTCAGGCTGCTGAGCTGGAAGGATCATCCTGTGCAACTTCCTCCTTTTGCAGATGACAAAGCAGATCCAGACTGGATGACTTACCCAAAGCTACGCTGTAGTAAATTAGCTGCAAAAACAGCCCTACTTCTCCACCCATCCTTGCATCCACGTCCTTTGCAAGGTGACCACGCAGCTCCACCCACCACGAAGAGGAACCTATTTCCCTCCCCCTTGAATCTGGGCTTGGCCACGTGACTTGCTTGACCAACGGTGACGGAAATGCTTATATGCCGGTTTCCAGCCTGTGTCTCCAGAGTCTTATGCGCTTTGGGTGTCTCCCTTGCTCTTCTACCTTTGACAAGAACATTTCTGGGCTAGCCAGCTGGAGGAATGAGCAGAGCCCAATCAGCTCGGTTGTCCCAGCCAGGCCCCAGAAATGTGAGCGAGCCCAGCCAAGATCAGCAGAGCTGCCTGGCCAACCTGCAGCTGGCCAGACAGAGGAGTGTGCCCTGCCCAGGCCCACTCCTCTCAGCAGAACCATCCAGCTGACCCGGAGACTCATGAGCAAACATATAAGTTTACAATAGTAAGCCCCTGAGGCTGTGTGGTTGGTTGTTACGCAGCATCACTACAGCAATAGATAACCGATACACACGTCTCCCACCCCTTCCCTCCTTGTTATTCTCACTGGCATGCCAAGGTGCTCTCATTGGGACGATTGCAGCCACCATAAAACTGACATCCCCTCCTCCAGCCTTCCCCCTTCCTTAACCCCTCTGCCACCACGGAGATCACAACTGGCAGCTCAAGCTTCCAGATATTTTTTCTTTTCTTTGTTCTTTCTTTTTCCTTTGTGCTCACACAGTGTGTTAAAAAAAAAAAAAAAAAGGTTGAGCCAACATTTAAATATCAGAAGCCCTTGCATAGAAATCCTTCTTTTGAAAAAAGCAGAAGATTCTGGGCCCTACCTTCCTGCATGGCACCCACCATCTGGGCCTAAGAAGCAGTCGCCCCGTGAGTCTGGGACATATGCAGTCCCCACACTTAACAACAGTCCTCACCACTCATTCCTGTCTCCCCCACACCCAGCCTGAGCGCCAGTCACGGTCTAGCTTATGCTCTTGGTTCCTTATTTTAGAGAAATTTCTCCGTGCATGTCTCTGTCAAAAGTTGGCAAACAAAAGATAGACCTTGAGGGCCTCGTGATTCAAGGAAAATAAAGAGAGTATGTTTCTTTGTGGAAGTGATGGATATTTCCATGTATTTAAAATGCAAACAACAGCCGGTTTCTCTCATTAATACTGGCCCCTGGAGGCATCTGTACTTTCCACGCTAGCTGTAGACCAGATTCCTTCAGAGTGGTCCTACTTACCTTTCCAGTCTTCTCTCCCCTGTCCCCACCCCCATGTCCCTAAAGCCCAGGCTGCCATGATCACTCGCTCTGCTCCTGCCCTCACCCTTTTGCCCAGCAGAGCCCCCTCCATACACAGTGGTTGATGATCAGACTCGCATCTTCCTCTCAGATCTTACTTCCACCCGGAAACCTTCCCACCTCACCCCAGTCAAGACTACTCTTGCTTCCCCTTGCACCCTGCACAGCCCAGCCCCGTGATGATGCCCATTTTAGCAGCTACCCCAGACTGCCTCAGAGCACAACTGCTCCAGCTCAACTCTGCTTCCCTCCAAGGCGGGGCTGGCCCTGCTGATGCGCCCTCTCCTTCATTACCAGCCCTGCTGTAGACTTATTACCAAAAGTAGCTTTGGACTGAAATTGAATGTCCATGATTTGCATAGTTTTGCATCTCATTTGCATAGCACTTATTTCCTGTCCAAAAATACTGACATTTGCTCACAATTTGCTCCTGACTCTCCAGGGCTCCCCATACTGGTCTCCATGCTGCTGCCCTCTCACTTCCTACCCACCTCTGCTCGGGCTTACCACACCTGGAGAAACACCTGGCCGGTCCAGGCCTGGTGGAGATGGGCCCATCTCCCCCTCTTACTCCCACAGGGCAGCTGGGAGTCTGCCCCTGGAAATCCCAGCTTGGCTTCCAGGCTTGTTGTTGCCTGAGTTATTACCTGCTGTGCCTAATGCCCGGCATGGGGTCTAGGCCTGCCAGGAGCTTAGGAAGAGCCTGAGTGAATGAGTGATTGAACTAATAAGGCAGAGATCGAGTGAGTGAGTGGGTCACGAGAGCATGGTGAAAGAAGACGAGTGGGGAGCCTTGAAGGAAAGAGTATGCTCAGGCAAGTGAGATCTGTTTGCACAACAGTTATTGGCTCTGCACTTGACAGAGACAGGTCTGGTCTGGATCCTGGATACACCAACCAGGCGTGTGGCCCTGGGCAAGTCCCTTCATTGCTGCGTGCCTCAGTTTGTCGGATGAAACCTTGGGTCCCACTGTATCCTGGTGTCAGTGCAGTGCCTGACTCAGAGAAGGCGCTCGAGAAGTATCTGTTGAATGAGTGAATGAATGAATGAATGACTACCCCATGGGTTTGTTGGGAAGACTAAATGAGATGCCACCCACAAGACACTGTGCCTGAGCTGGTGCTTGCTAGTCACTCACTGTGAGTTAATCCACCCATCCAACCTCCTTAATCACCGGGCCGCATCCACAGGTAATCGACGTGGAATCACCAGGACACCTGCGTTCCCAGCCCTGCACTGAACACACTGGGAGCACAAATAGGTGTCATTCAACAGTTCACCAGGGGCCAGCTTGTGCCAGGCCCTGAGCCAGATGCTGGGGAGCCAGAGATGATGCCCCTGGGGTCTCTACAGTCAGGTGGGGACTGTGTGAAATGCTTAAAGAGAAGTGCAAGGGTCTGAAGCCCCCACGCTGAAACACCAGCGAGCCGGGCTCCACAAGCTGGGGCTCTCCAGGGAGCTGTCTTGGGGGAGCTGGCTTGCCCTCCTGCTGGTCTGTGAGGCTATCTGGGTTGATAGAGGGAACGGATGACAAGCAGGCGACAGCAAGGGCAGAAGTGTGGCGGTACGAGTACACATGAAGGATAGACAGGGGATGGAGGGGAGGTAGTGCTGAGAAGCAAGGGCACTTGTGACATGCGCACCTGTTTGGGGGCCATCTCCACTACCTCTGGCTCCAGCCTCTGCCCCAATGAGAGGTTACTTTCTAAACTATAGTCCGTTTTCTCAGCATCAGGGTGGAGCGGCAGGTAGGAAAGGGCCAGAGTCTCCAGCTGCATCTCTGACTGGTCCAGCTAGCATCACATGGAGGAAAACTCCCTCTCACTCAACAGCAACCAGAATAAACCACAGGAGCCCAGAGGAGGGAGGTCCAAATCAGACAGGGCAGGACCAAAGCCAGAAAGGCTACCCGGAGGAAGCGAGCTGTGAGAGAGTCCCACTTGCAGAGCCTGGGAGGCGACACAGAACACAGTGGCCTTGCAGGTAACGGCCCTGAGAGCTAGAAGCGGCCTAAGACCTCTTTTGAGGCAACCAACACAAATTAGAGGTGAGAAAACTGAACTCCAGAGAGGGTAAGTGACTTCCTCAAAGTCACACAGCATTTGGGCAGCAGAACTTTGATTGGAAGCATTCACAGCCCAGAGCTCTGGGAGCTGAGCGTGTCAAAGAGGCCAACGGGGGAGAAGGTGGGAAGAGAGAATGTGTCCAGGAGGATCCTCTCAGCCCTGAACCCACTTTATTTTAGACAGGTGACCAGGAATGCTCTTACAAAGAAGTTACCAGAAAAAAATCCCTATTTGGATTATTCTCATTTAATTTTAGCCTCTTCTGAAGAAATATGCATTTGTTTGCCAGGAGGCCAAGCAGCATGAGGCTTCATGATGGAAGATCCAGCCCAAACTGGCCTAGGCCAAAGGGACTTGATTGGCTCAACCAACTCCTAAGTCTGGG